TGAGACTATCTTGCCAGCTAGAATGGAGTGGAGGCTATGGAGTTACTGGTAAGGTTGGAGCTAGCCCTGATGGGCTAGACATTCGCATAGGCATGGAGGGCCAGTCAGGGTCACGGCCAGAGATCATGGGAGGAGGAAGGACTGAGGCTCAAGCTGCAGCCAAGGTCATCGACACCCAGAAATCTTTTCCAGCAGTTCTCAGTCTGGACGGAGTCCATACTGATAGGAGCTTTGTATCTGGGAGTGGCTCTGACTGGCTCTCTCCCTCAACCTCTACTCCTCCCCCACTTCACTATGCAACGCCTGTGTTTTTTTTTTTTTGTTTTTTGTTTTTTGTTTTTTTTTTCCCTGAGATAGGGTTTCTCTGTGGCTTTGGAGGCTGTCCTGGAACTAACTCTTATAGACCAGGCTGGTCTCGAATTCACAGAGCTCTGCCTGCCTCTGCCTCCCGAGTGCTGGGATTAAAGTCGTGCAACACTACAACCAGGCTTCTATGCAGCTCCTTTAAGCCATTAAGAGTCATAAGAACAGACCCCCAGGCACCAAGTGCATCTTCAGCCCTCTGAAGGCTGGACACTCTTGGGGCAGGCTGGACTGAAGTTGAAGATAATTTCTCAAGACTTTTTAGATCCTTTCTCACTGTTTACTCCTAGGGAGCTAGAATTGCCAGTGTGACAACTTCAGGCAAGAAAAGAGTACTTTTATAATGACACAAGATTTCCACCCCATAGAAAGGAGAAAGTGATAGCACCATGCCAAAGATAGAGTCAGTGCAAAGGGGAATGATCAGAATCTGGGGACCAACCTGTTACCTGTTTTGTCTCATATCATACAGGGATTTAGAAACAAAACAGAAATATGAAAGGGGAACCCAGAATTCTCACTTCTAAAAGAATCCTGCCCTGCACATTTCTATAACTTTAAGGTAATTTGGGGTTCATAAGCTCTTTAATCAGGCTGCATTACTAAAAACTGCAGAGAGAAGAAATGGGTTATTAACGTGTACTTGAGGGAGGGGAGTCAGGGGAGTCTGAATGCCTTGGTGCATTCAGAGCTAGCTTGGGGTACCACTGCATGGAGAGGAAGAAGAAATAGAGAAGGGGCCACCTCAGGGGTTCTCTTGCTCTCTGCTTTCAGAATTGTGTTTCTTTGCTTCTCCTCTGGCCTTGCAGCTGGGTTTGTTCCTACTAGTTGTTTAAGGTTCAGCTTAACCATTATCTCCTTCCCAGATTTGCCTCAGAATTTGGTTAGAAACTTTGTGTGGTGGATTCTCACTGTTGTTTATGTATATGTTTTGCATTGGCTATCTATCTATCTATCTATCTATCTATCTATCTATCTTGAGACAGGGTCTCACTATGTAGGCCAGGCTGGCCTTGAACTCACAGAGATTTGATTGCCTCTGCCTCTCAAGGGCTGGGATTAAAGGCTTACAAACTATGACTGGCTTGCTAGAAATAGCTAGAAATAGCCCACAATAAGTTCTCACCCACCCCACCTTTCTGTTCTCCTCTCTCCCAGCTCTGCCAGGGCCTCATGCATCCCACATGCAGAACTAACTGTTCTATCACTAAACTTACCCCAAGCCTTCAAACTATAAATTTCTTGAAATCAGGGAAGTGGGATTCTTTCATGCTTTCCAAAATTGGTCTGTTGCCCAGTTAGTTACTAAGAACTAGAGGTATTTGTGATTCATCTGTCCTATCCCCAAATTATACCTTGTTAACAAAGTTTACCAATACTGTGCAGATTGCTTAATTAATGCTTCTGGTTCAAACAAAAGCTGCCAGGGGACTCAAATAATTGAAAAGTCTCAGAATAATGTAGAAGAAATATGCTACCAATTATAGATCATATAGACTGCCCCCCCCAAAAAAATCAAAAGGATAACCCAGTGAATTTGAGAAGCTTTGTTGTATCATTTTACATATATGTGCTAGGAAGAATGAAAACAAAACAAAAACATCAATGTAAGTTTTGCAG